GGCGCTAGGAGCTTTTTAGAAACCAAAGTGCTAGAGGGGTCTGAAAAGTGGCTAAATATAGCGACTAAAGCGCTAAGTTCGCATTCTTTGTTTTCTAATGGTTTGCAATAAAAGTTGTGTGTTTAGATTTCTAGTTGTCGATTTTCTTCCACAGCATTGGCAGATTATCTTATATACCTGCTCAAATTAATGGTAAATGCATTTAATCTAAGACATTTTAGATAATTTCTGCAGTGTGCTGGGCTTCCCTTTCAGGATTCGGTTGTGTTGTGAGGACCCAAATGCAGAGGCAGGGAGGCAGAGGTGGGTTTCTTGATGATTTAATGAAGAGTTTTCAAACAACTGAGGCAGGAATCCGAAAATCCAAAAATAAATCCAAAAGAAAAAAGTTAAACCAACCAGAAAAACAGGGAGACATCAGGGGGGAAGACTATAACGGGGAGGAAGACTCAAAGAGACGGAGTCGGAGGAAGTTTGATGAGGAACCAGCACTGATAAACTGCATAAGGACTGTATTTATGGGAGACTGAAACAAAGAGAGGACTAAGGAGCAGATAGGGAGCAGGTGTGAAACAAAGCAGAACGGGAAAGGAGCTAGGGAAAAAGGAGAACACTAGAGGGCAGCAGAGGGCAACAAATAAAAACCTGAAAACTGAAAAATAACCAGAGAAGACAACAAAAACAAGAATTAAACCACTAACACTAGAAAACATGGAACAACGTTAAACTGAAATCTCAAAAGAAAACATAACAGAACCAGAACTCTGACACCCTGCACTACTATTTCAAGAAACCATCAGTTTGATCTCAAATCTGGGATTTGTGGGGGAATATTGGCTCCTACACTGGAAAAAATTAAAATCAAGATAAGTCATTTGTTCTTGAATTGAGGAGATAAAAGAGACATTTTGCCCATGAGGCAAAACAATTTACATTTAAAATAAGAAAAAAACAATTGTATTGTCTTATTTCAAGTGCATATCTAATTATCTTATTCTAAGAGTAAAAATACTATTTCATTTACCTACTCAAGAGTAAATTCCCTTAATTTAAGACATTTTTTGCTTATTTCTAGATCATTTTTCCAGTGTAAGGAAGTTTTAAAGATTACTGCACTGCAAAAAAACATCGAGAAATTAGTAAAATGTTTCTTAAATCAAGAGTATTTACCCTTAATTTTAGCAGGTAATAAGATGATCTGCCAATGGAATTAATATTATTACACTTAAAATACAATAATTAAATAATATGCACTTAAAATAAGACAATCCAATTATTTTTTTCTTATATTAAATGCAATTTGTCTTGTTCCACTGGCAAAATGTTTCTTTCCTCCTCAGTTCAAGAAAAAATGCAATTAATTTAAGCAAAAATGACTCATTTAGATTCCATTTTTTCCAGCGTGAGACGTTTGCTAATCCTAAGAACCCTTCCCCTCAATTTATTGCCATTTCTGATTTTAATCCCACGACGCCGCTCTAAAGTCATCAATCTTCTTCTGTGAGGAGGAACACCTCCCATCTACTCTGGAGAGTTGACCGTTATTTAAAAAATGTCCATAATGGCATGAAATGAGCCCCACTGGGAGGCCGTCCAGGGCTGGGAGTGCAGTTCGCTGCTGCAGGTCTGGATATGAACAAAGCGGCTGTGAGAAAAGTCTACTGTAGTGACCTGCATGAATAAACAACATCCAGCCTCAGATGCAGGCATCACTCCTCTGCAAACCCTCCCTGTATAAATAACATTAATATTCCTGCGTGACCCTGTGGCGTCCCCCACTCGCATTCCTGCTGTATCCGGATCACCTTTCTCCTGCGGAACCTGCCGATGTGTTTACATGGAAAGTCTGACAGCGACGCATCAAGCCGAGCTGACTGAGGTCAGATCTGATAGAGCAGATGAACAAATAAGGGTGGAACAAGCCGCTATTCACCACGGCAGGATGTGCTGAGCGCTTTCTAAGCTTCGACTGCTCCTAATGACTGTTTAATGGACTGTCTTTGTGCTAACCTGTTGTGTCATGGTGGTGCTTAAAGTGGTTTCCTGCAGAACCGCGAGGCGGTTCGAACACATTGTTTTAACCATCCGTTCATTTGAACAGATACCAACGGATCTGGAGGATGCATCGGCGTTTACCAAGCACTCCATCAGGGCTTTGAATGCAACGTTACTGGAAAGTAAAACATTGATAATGGTACCTTTAGATACAGACGGTGTAAATATTCACGCCCCTGAATCCTGTTAGAAACACAAACTATCTCAGATGGATTTATGTCAACAGAAGATATTCAATTCAGTTTATTTATATATAGTTTTCTATCTAAGGAAAAGCAGCTGATTGCATCGACTCATTGACTCTTCAGCAATCCCTCACACTAAGCATGCTTGTAGCGACAGTGGAGAGGAAAAACTCCCTTTGAACAGGAAGAAACCTCCAGCAGAACCAGGCTCAGTGTGAGCGGCCATCTGCTGAGGCCCACTGGGGTTCAAGGAGACAGAAGCAGACATAGAAAAAGGGGTCCCTATGTCCTCCAGCAGTCTAAGCCTATAGCAGCAGAACTATAAGGTTTATCAAAAAGGTTTTAATCATTTGTATTTTATTTATTTACTCAGTATCTGTCCTACAGATGTTATTATTTGCAAAGTTGTTTTCTTTGTATCCTCTTTTAAAGTCTAACTTTCTATAATCCTGCTAATTGTGCCGTTTACTCATCATCCTGTAAACTGACTGTGTCCTCTTCTGCTTAAACATTTATCCTTTTATATATCTGAGTAAAATGTCCCCATTATGGAACAATAAAGTAGTTTTCTATTCTATGTCTTATCTCTCCACTGACTGCAGAACTGTTTTTATTCTCTCCTCTGCTGTCGGCACTAACTTCTAATACTGAGCTCTTTTTATATGAATCTGATTCCTGTGTCTTCTGTCCATTTGTCTTTGCTGATGTCACACCCAGATTTCCACACTGTGGGACAATAAAGAGATTCTTGTCTTATCTTATCTTAGACTAATATATGTAGAGGGCTAAAAAAATGCTTAAAGATATAAAGCAGCATGTATAATGATGAATAGTTATAGGAAAATATTACACAGTCGTCTGTTAGATTTGAATAATTGGTCCATTGTTAACAATAACTGCCCTGAGTAGGTCTCTGTTTCGAAATGAAGACTATAGGTCATCAGTTGAGCTACGGGACAGAAACAGCAGAATAATGAATCCTGTGTTCTCAGCTGGGTTTAGAACAACATTCATCTATTCTGAACTAAATATTTTTTCTTAAATAAATATTTAGCTCCAAATTATCTTAATCTTTTAATCTTTATTTAACAACGTAAATATTTGGCTAGCACCAAGCTATTTAGCCAATATGCTAATTCCCTTGCCAAAAAGCGGAAATGAGCTAACAAAATAAAAGCCTGGGACTCTCTATACTCTTTATACTAAATATTTAGTTTGTTAAATAAATATTTTGTTTGGAGATAAATATTTATCTTACAAACTTAATATTTAATCCACAAACTAAATATTTAGTTTTTTAAATAAATATTTAGCTCCAAATTAAATCTTTATTTTACAAACTAAATATTTAGCTAGCACCAAGCTATTTAGCAAATATGTAAATTCCCTTGCCATAAAGCGGAAATGAGCTAACAAAATAAAAGCCTGGGACTCTCTATACTCTTTATACTAAATATTTTGTTTGTTAAATAAATATTTAGTTTGGAGCTAAATATTTACCTTACAAACTTAATATTTAATCCACAAACAAAATATTTAGTTTCTTATATTTAGATCCAAATTAAATCTTTATTTAACAAAGTGAATATTTAGCTAGCACCAAGCTAATTAGCAAATATGTAAATTCCCTTGCCATAAAGCGGAAATGAGCTAACAAAATAAAAGCCTGGGACTCTCTATACTCTTTATGCTAAATATTTAGTTTGTTAAATAAATATTTAGTTTGGAGATAAATATTTATCTTACAAACTTAATATTTAATCCACAAACTAAATATTTTGTTTTTTAAATAAATATTTAGCTCCAAATTAAATCTTTATTTTACAAACTAAATATTTAGCTAGCACCAAGCTATTTAGCCAATAAATATTTTATTTGGAGCTAAATATTTAATTTTAGGGATTTACTTTTAATACTCGGCTCTTTTTATGTACATAGATAATTTATCCAGTGAGAACACAGGATAATAAATCCTTTCTTCTCCTTTAGTTTAGAACAATATTAATCTATTTTATTTGACATTTTACAGCATAGTATGATGGTAAAGACAGGGGGAAAAAAGTATGAAAATGTTGTTTTTGTGTTTCTTTTTTCATGAATAAATGTAATGGTCCCCCCCATCCCCCCTCATGAATGCCTCCTTAGACCCGACCCTGATCCGGTCTCCATATCAGTTTACTCCTTTGTGTTTAGTTCCTTGAATTTATTCATGTTCTCTGCTTTTTCTGTCTTTGTTTTTTTTCCTCTTGATTTTTTCTCCTGGTTAGTGATTTCTTTGTTTAGTTTATTGATCGCTAGTCTCCCTCCTTCAGCTTCCTTTCTCCATCAGCTGTTCCACATCTCCTATAATTAGCTTATCTTATGATCTGCCCGGTCTTCTAATTATCACTCATCTCATCCAGCTGCATCTGTTCCTTTTTATTTGGTTCAGCCCAGCTATCAGGGCCAGATTATTGTTTGCTGTCTGTTTTTTTATGCCTGTTAGTTTGTCTGTTCAGTTAGTTTATTCCATGGTTAGCGTCCTGGTTCCTGGCAGCCAGCGGATTCAGAGGGCTTTTGTGTTCATCTTGTCTCCTGATCGTTTCCTGGTCCTTCTCCGCGAAGCCCTCAGGGGTTTGGCTCAGAAAGCAGAGAAGGTCAGTTTCTATTCCCGCAATCCTGGCTGATAGGAGGAGACCAGTTTAAAGTTCTGCAGTTGTCCTGGTACCATGTCTCGTCTATGTTCCTTTCTACTACTGGATTCTGCCTGTCTGCATCTGTACGTGTCCGTCTGGGCAAGCTTCTGGACTCGTCTGACTCTGAATCTGCCGGAACGCTCTGAGGGTGTTTGCTCTGTTCCTGTTTGGGTCGGAACCTCGGATCAAGCGGAGGTTTTCTGAATTCCTGAACTGTTCCAGCCTGCTCTGTCTTCCCCAGACCTGGATCAGCTTCCTGCAAGTTCTCCGGTGCTGCAGCATCAGGGACGCTCCGAGTGATGCACGCCGTGTCTGGCTGTCAGCCCATCGGCTGGATGGCACCTTTCTAAGGAGATGGACTAAACTGTGAAACCAGGTAATTGACTCCCTGAGATTGTATCTCCTGTCAGATGATCGTGGTCACTTACCTGTGTTTCTTCCCCAGAGAGTCAGTGATTAGGCGGGGATCCCCCCCCCCTCCTGCAGTCGCAGTTCCACAGTTCTTTCTGTCCCGCCTCCTGACAGGTTCCTTTGTCATTTTTCACTCCTGCCTCGTTCTTAAGCTCCTGATTTTTCCATTGTTAGTTGCACCTTCTTGTGTTACACTGTCAGATTATCTGTCTGATCTCCATTCCCTGTTTATCCCATTTAAGACTTGCTGGATTTCTGTTTTGCTGTTAGAAATCCTTCATTGTTCTCATCTCTAGTTCATGTCTGCATCTTGGTCAGAACTCAGAACCATTTCAGAAGCTAAAGATTAGCGGAGCTAACTCGTAGAAAAACCAGAGATGACCTGAAACCGGTGTGGAGGTTCACCTTCCAGCAGAACCATCATACAGCAAGAGGTCCAATAAGGAGGCTAATTAAGTGTTAGAATGGCCTAGTCAAAGTTCCGACCTTAATCTGGACCCTAAATAGAAGTTTTAAAAGTTTCAGTCTGTAATTTTACAAAGGGGACAGGGGTACATTTACCATTAGGCAATACTAGGCAGGTGCTTAGGGCCCCAAGTTCCTGGGGGCCCCATAAAACTCTGTTTCCATGTATGGTTAATAAAAACATTCCTTATTTGTGTACATTAATTATGTTTTTGCTAAAATGCCATCAGAACGCTGATAATATTAAGTGTGTCTCAGCCCCCCCCTTCAGTGTCCACCATATTGGATCAGTCCATTTGCTGCACATGTTCAGAAAGGTCCAAACAGACAGCAGCAAACCATTTGAAAACAAACCATGCAAAGAGCAGTGTTGCCAACTTAGCGCTTTAGTCGCTATATTTAGCCACTTTTCAGACCCCTCTAGCACTTTGATTTCTAAAAAGCTCCTAGCGCCAAATCTAGAGACTTTTTTCTGCTACTGAGACTTTGGAGACAATATCTAAAAGCAGCGAACTCTGCTCTCCAGAGCGAGTAGATTGGTAAAGGCCGGCAAACACTGTATGATTATTATTTTTTACGCCTCTTTGGACCAATTCTCCAGTCTTGTGAGAATTTTTCAATCAGGCCGACTTTCAGCCTGATGGTGCATGGTGTAGTGTACAGCGGGTAACGAGGGGGGATCAGCCTCTAAGGACCACCCCCCCATCAGGAATAGTAAAGTCAGGAGAAAAGCAAACATATTTGAAATTCAGTCGGCGGTTGTAAGGTGGTCGTGTGCAAACAAGGATTCTTCTTCTTCCTCTCAGAGGAAAACGCAGATTCATGGCGGGGGGCAATGAGTGAAATGGAGTTCCTTTCTGTCAAACTGACAGACCGTAGTAGCCACGTTTGCTCAGCCATGTCTTTGTCCAAATACGTCTTTATTCTCATAATTTTACCACTTTATTCTAATAATGTTAGGCATTTATTCTCGTAGTGTTTTATGTGTTGTCTTCTCAATTCAGAGGGCCCCCTGTCTGTCTTTGCCTAGGGCCCCACATTTCCTAAATCCGCCCCTGAGATCAAAGCCTAATTAAGTGTTAGAATGGCCTAGTCAAAGTTTGGACCTTTAAGGTTTCAGTCTGTAGATGTGCATAAAGTAAGCATCATTTTTCTCCCTCTCCACTGAGAGGGAGTGCTGCACCGCTTCATAACAACCTCTGCTGTCACTCCAGGTCGCCTACCCTGCACAATTATTTTAATGCTCCCGCCTCCTCCTCTTCCTCATTTCCGTGATCTGTTGGAGTGGAGTTGCGCGTGGAGAGCAGATCAAACGCAGGAGTATTTCCACAGAGGGGGGGTTGATTCGGAACCTTCTGATCAATAACTGATCAGCAGCAGCTAGGGGCCCATCAGGGCAGGTCAGGAGGTCAGAGGCATGAGCCGGACCGGATATTTACCAGCTGCAGCGTGCACAACCGGCTCATGATGATGATGATAAATCTGTCTGATCCATTTCATGCGCTCCGACAGCCCCACGCTGCTCGAAGATGACGCGGGGACTGGATGCACGGCACGCGGGCTGGATCCAGACTAACCTGGGATAAAAAGTTCAACTGACCCGACAGTTCTTAAAGTTTGGGTCCCAAGAGACGGCAGAGAGTCCGGGATTCAGAGAGAGGAGCGCCGGGGAGAGGAGGCGCACCGAGCCGCGCAAAGAGCTTCAGAGGAGAGGTAACAGATCAGGACGCAGAGATTCATCAAGTCTGTAGATTCTGCAAGGTTGGAAACTTTTTGCTACAGAAGTTAGAGAGGAACTTCAGACAGAAGGAGAATTAGGGCCACTGGAAACATAAAATAAACTGATTTATGAATATTATTTCACTTTCTTATGGGAAAAAAAGTTGGAATTCTGATTTTAATTTCAGAATTCTGACTTTTAAACTCAGAAATCTGACTTTTTTAAAAAAAAGAGAATTCTGACTTTAATCTCTGAATTCTGACTTTTAATCTCAGAAATCGAACTTTTTTTTTTTTTAAAGAATTATGACTTTAATCTCTGAATTCTGACATTTAATCTAAAAAAATCTAATTTTTTTCAAAGAATTTTGACTTTAATCTCAGAAATCTGACTTTTTCAAAGAATTCTGACTTTTAATCTCAGAAATCGAACTTTTTTTTTTAAAAAAGAATTATGACTTTAATCTCTGAATTCTGACATTTAATCTAAAAAAATCTAATTTTTTTCAAAGAATTTTGACTTTAATCTCAGAAATCTGACTTTTTCAAAGAATTCTGACTTTTAATCTCAGAAATCTAACTTTTTTTTTTAAAGAATTCTGACTTTAATCTCAGAAATCTGACCTTAATCTCAGAATTCTGACTTTTAATCTCAAAAATCTAACTTTTTTTTCTCAGAATTCAGACTTTAAATTCAGAATTCTGACTTTTTTCTCAGAATTCAGACTTTAAACCCAAAATTCCGACTTTTTCTCAAAATTCTGACAGAATTCTGACAGCTAACAAACATGTTAGCATCCAGCCGTAGCCATGTCTGTTTTAGAGACTAGCTCTCTTGTTTTAATCACCTTCTGCTCTTCCATTAATGAAATAGCATCAGCAGGGACCCTCAGGGACGGAAAAATTTGCCTAATTGGGTCATTTTCCACCAATGTGTTCCTGTTTCTCCCAAACATCTGTCAGTGAAGCTGAGGGCTCCACATCTGCCTTCATGGGGCCCATCTACATTAAGATCCACAATTCTGAGATTAAAGTCAGACTTCTGATAATTATTTCCCATATTAAACTGAAATAAAATAAAAAAAAACAGCTAACTTTTATTTGTTCAGTAGCTCTAATCCTTTTCCCTGATTCCATGTTTTCCTGAGCAGCCAGATGTCAGACATAACTTTTAAAAAAGGAGTTTTCTCCTGGGTCCCTGCAGGTCCTCAGTGATGCTGCTGCCGCGGCCCTCTGTCCTGTCCGCGCTCCTCCTCCTCTTCATCCTCCTGCATACCCCGGGAAGCTGCCAAGCTGCATCCCGGCACAGAGGCCCCGGGCCCCGGGCGGAGGGGCGCAGGAACCGCCACAGTTTGGCGCAGCTGATCGGTCGGTCCCAGAGGGGCCCGGTGGGGCCGAGCGGGCGCGAACCAACCAGTCCGAAAAGACCGAACCGGTCCAACCACGGTGAGGGCCGACACCATGACCCCCCCTGAGTATTACTGGGTGTTTGGTTTCCCCCATTAGAGATCCGCTAATGAATGAGTGCTGCTATAAACCGACTCTAATCTAAATTCATTCAGCTGTTTCCCCCAGAAGGCTTCTCAGATTTAACAACCTTTTTAGAGCCTTGACCTTTAAAGCTGCAAATAGTCTTTGGTTTCATCTTCTAATATTAGTTGATTAAAACTTTAAAAATGAAGTGTTAAAAAGCCAGTTTGGAACTTTATATCAGTCCTAAACAGAAAATAATCTCTTCATCATGGATAAGGAGTTATATGTATGTTTTAAAATGATTTATTTGAACCAGTTTGGCATTTCATTAGAAAAGTTACAGTAGCAGCCGTTCAAAATGGCTCTTCCCTGCTGAACGGCAGCCGGATGGCAGCGCCACTTCCCTGCAACTCCCAGCAAAATCCCCTCTAACTTTCAGCCACTGAACTGACCCCCTTTTGCACCATTTCACTGAATTACAGGGTCTGACCAGGAGATGGCGCTTCTCTTTAGATCTTAATGTCCACAAATCATGACTGAGAGAATATTTTAGTACAAAGATTGATGTTTAAAAAGGAATTCAAAGTAGACCAGCCAAGGACCATCCAATGACTACCAAGGACTAACCAAGGACTAACCAAGGACCAGCCAATGACTACCAATGACTAACCAAGGACCAGCCAAGGACCAGCCAATGACCAGCCAATGACTAACCAAGGACCAGCCAAGGACCATCCAATGACTACCAAGGACTAACCAAGGACCAGCCAATGACTACCAATGACTAACCAAGGACCAGCCAAGGACCAGCCAATGATCAGCCAATGACTAACCAAGGACCAGCCAATGACTACCAATGACCAGCCAAGGACCATCCAATGACTACCAAGGACCAGCCAAGGACCATCCAATGACTACTAAGGACCAGCCAATGACTACCAAGGACCAGCCAAGGACTAACCAAGGACTGACCAATGACCAGCCAAGGACCAGCCAATGACTAACCAAGGACCAGCCAAGGACCAGCCAATGACTAACCAAGGACCAGCCAAGGACCAGCCAATGACCAGCCAATGATCAGCCAATGACTAACCAAGGACCAGCCAAGGACCAGCCAATGATCAGCCAAAGACTGACCAATGACCAGCCAAGGACCAGCCAATGACTAACCAAGGACCAGCCAAGGACTAACCAAGGACTGACCAATGACCAGCCAAGGACCAGCCAATGACTAACCAAGGACCAGCCAAGGACCAGCCAATGACCAGCCAATGATCAGCCAATGACTAACCAAGGACAAGCCAAGGACCAGCCAAGGACCAGCCAAGGACTAACCAAGGACCAGCCAATGACCAGCCAATGACTAACCAAGGACCAGCCAAGGACCAGCCAATGACCAGCCAATGATCAGCCAATGACTAACCAAGGACCAGCCAAGGACCAGCCAAGGACTAACCAAGGACCAGCCAATGACCAGCCAATGACTAACCAAGGACCAGCCAATGACCAGCCAATGATCAGCCAATGACTAACCAAGGACCAGCCAAGGACCAGCCAAGGACCAGCTAATGTCTAACCAATGACTAGCCAAGGACTAACCAATGACCAGCCAATGACCAGCCAATGACCAGCCAAGGACCAGCTAATTACCAGCTAATTACCAGCCAATGACCAGCCAATGACCAGCCAATGACTAACCAAGGACCAGCCAATGACCAGCCAATGACCAGCCAATGACTAACCAAGGACCAGCCAAGGACCAGCTAATGACCAGCCAATGACCAGCCAATGACCAGCCAATGACCAGCCAATGACCAGCCAATGACTAACCAAGGACCAGCTAATGACCAGCCAATGACTAACCAATGACCAGCCAATGACTAACCAAGGACCAGTCAATGACTAACCAATGACCAGCCAATGACTAACCAAGGACCAGCTAATGACCAGCCAATGACTAACCAAGGACCAGCCAATGACCAGCCAATGACTAACCAAGGACCAGCTAATGACTAACCAAGGACCAGCCAAGGACCAGCCAATGATCAGCCAAAGACTGACCAATGACCAGCCAAGGACCAGCCAATGACTAACCAAGGACCAGCCAAGGACTAACCAAGGACTGACCAATGACCAGCCAAGGACCAGCCAATGACTAACCAAGGACCAGCCAAGGACCAGCCAATGACCAGCCAATGATCAGCCAATGACTAACCAAGGACCAGCCAAGGACCAGCCAAGGACCAGCCAAGGACTAACCAAGGACCAGCCAATGACCAGCCAATGACTAACCAAGGACCAGCCAATGACCAGCCAATGATCAGCCAAGGACTAACCAAGGACCAGCCAAGGACCAGCCAAGGACTAACCAAGGACCAGCCAATGGCTAACCAAGGACCAGCCAAGGACCAGCTAATGTCTAACCAATGACTAGCCAAGGACTAACCAATGACCAGCCAATTACCAGCCAATGACCAGCCAATGACCAGCCAATGACTAACCAAGGACCAGCCAATGACCAGCCAATGACCAGCCAATGACTAACCAAGGACCAGCCAAGGACCAGCTAATGACCAGCCAATGACCAGCCAATGACCAGCCAATGACCAGCCAATGACCAGCCAATGACTAACCAAGGACCAGCTAATGACCAGCCAATGACTAACCAATGACCAGCCAATGACTAACCAAGGACCAGCCAATGACTAACCAATGACCAGCCAATGACTAACCAAGGACCAGCTAATGACCAGCCAATGACTAACCAAGGACCAGCCAATGACCAGCCAATGACTAACCAAGGACCAGCTAATGACCAGCCAATGACTAACCAAGGACCAGCTAATGACCAGCCAATGACTAACCAAGGACCAGCCAATGACCAGCCAATGACTAACCAAGGACCAGCTAATGACCAGCCAATGACTAACCAATGACCAGCCAATGACTAACCAAGGACCAGCCAATGACCAGCCAATGACTAACCAATGACCAGCCAAGGACCAGCTAATGACCAGCCAATGACTAACCAATGACCAGCCAATGACTAACCAAGGACCAGCTAATGACCAGCCAATGACTAACCAATGACCAGCCAATGACTAACCAAGGACCAGCCAATGTCTAACCAAGGACCAGCTAATGACTAACCAATGACCAGCCAATGACTAACCAAGGACCAGCCAATGACTAACCAAGGACCAGCCAATGACCAGCCAATGACTAACCAAGGACCAGCTAATGACCAGCCAATGATCAGCCAAGGACTAACCAAGGACCAGCCAAGGACCAGCAAAGGACTAACCAAGGACCAGCCAATGACTAACCAAGGACCAGCCAAGGACCAGCCAAGGACCAGCTAATGTCTAACCAATGACTAGCCAAGGACTAACCAATGACCAGCCAATGACCAGCCAATGACCAGCCAAGGACCAGCTAATTACCAGCTAATTACCAGCCAATGACCAGCCAATGACCAGCCAATGACTAACCAAGGACCAGCCAATGACCAGCCAATGACCAGCCAATGACTAACCAAGGACCAGCCAAGGACCAGCTAATGACCAGCCAATGACCAGCCAATGACCAGCCAATGACCAGCCAATGACCAGCCAATGACTAACCAAGGACCAGCTAATGACCAGCCAATGACTAACCAATGACCAGCCAATGACTAACCAAGGACCAGCCAATGACTAACCAATGACCAGCCAATGACTAACCAAGGACCAGCTAATGACCAGCCAATGACTAACCAAGGACCAGCCAATGACCAGCCAATGACTAACCAAGGACCAGCTAATGACTAACCAAGGACCAGCCAAGGACCAGCCAATGATCAGCCAAAGACTGACCAATGACCAGCCAAGGACCAGCCAATGACTAACCAAGGACCAGCCAAGGACTAACCAAGGACTGACCAATGACCAGCCAAGGACCAGCCAATGACTAACCAAGGACCAGCCAAGGACCAGCCAATGACCAGCCAATGATCAGCCAATGACTAACCAAGGACCAGCCAAGGACCAGCCAAGGACCAGCCAAGGACTAACCAAGGACCAGCCAATGACCAGCCAATGACTAACCAAGGACCAGCCAATGACCAGCCAATGATCAGCCAAGGACTAACCAAGGACCAGCCAAGGACTAACCAAGGACCAGCCAATGGCTAACCAAGGACCAGCCAAGGACCAGCTAATGTCTAACCAATGACTAGCCAAGGACTAACCAATGACCAGCCAATTACCAGCCAATGACCAGCCAATGACCAGCCAATGACTAACCAAGGACCAGCCAATGACCAGCCAATGACCAGCCAATGACTAACCAAGGACCAGCCAAGGACCAGCTAATGACCAGCCAATGACCAGCCAATGACCAGCCAATGACCAGCCAATGACCAGCCAATGACTAACCAAGGACCAGCTAATGACCAGCCAATGACTAACCAATGACCAGCCAATGACTAACCAAGGACCAGCCAATGACTAACCAATGACCAGCCAATGACTAACCAAGGACCAGCTAATGACCAGCCAATGACTAACCAAGGACCAGCCAATGACCAGCCAATGACTAACCAAGGACCAGCTAATGACCAGCCAATGACTAACCAAGGACCAGCTAATGACCAGCCAATGACTAACCAAGGACCAGCCAATGACCAGCCAATGACTAACCAAGGACCAGCTAATGACCAGCCAATGACTAACCAATGACCAGCCAATGACTAACCAAGGACCAGCCAATGACCAGCCAATGACTAACCAATGACCAGCCAAGGACCAGCTAATGACCAGCCAATGACTAACCAATGACCAGCCAATGACTAACCAAGGACCAGCTAATGACCAGCCAATGACTAACCAATGACCAGCCAATGACTAACCAAGGACCAGCCAATGTCTAACCAAGGACCAGCTAATGACTAACCAATGACCAGCCAATGACTAACCAAGGACCAGCCAATGACTAACCAAGGACCAGCCAATGACCAGCCAATGACTAACCAAGGACCAGCTAATGACCAGCCAATGACTAACCAAGGACCAGCCAATGACCAGCCAATGACTAACCAAGGACCAGCCAATGACTAACCAATGACTAACCAATGACCAGCCAATGACTAACCAAGGACCAGCTAATGACCAGCCAATGACTAACCAATGACCAGCCAATGACTAACCAAGGACCAGCCAATGACCAGCCAATGACTAACCAAGGACCAGCTAATGACCAGCCAATGACTAACCAATGACCAGCCAATGACTAACCAAGGACCAGCTAATGACCAGCCAATGACTAACCAATGACCAGCCAGTGACTAACCAAGGACCAGCTAATGACCAGCCAATGACTAACCAATGACCAGCCAATGACTAACCAAGGACCAGCTAATGACCAGCCAATGACTAACCAATGACCAGCCAATGACTAACCAAGGACCAGCCAATGACTAACCAAGGACCAGCTAATGACTAACCAATGACCAGCCAATGACTAACCAAGGACCAGCTAATGACTAACCAATGACCAGCCAATGACTAACCAATGACCAGCCAATGACTAACCAATGACCAGCCAATGACTAACCAATGACCAGCCAATGACTAACCAAGGACCAGCCAATGACTAACCAAGGACCAGCTAATGACCAGCCAATGACTAACCAATGACCAGCCAATGACTAACCAAGGACCAGCTAATGACCAGCCAATGACTAACCAAGGACCAGCTAATGACCAGCCAATGACTAACCAATGACCAGCCAATGACTAACCAATGACCAGCCAATGACTAACCAAGGGCCCATCAAGGAAAGTGGGGAAATTTTGAATGGCTACTACTGTAAATGCATGAGTTGAAATAGTTTTTGATTCCTTTCTTTAAAGGAACATTGATGTAAATTGTGCAGCAGCTTATGTAAGTGGTGTCATTTCTGAGGCTGGAAGCAGCTCTTAAAAAAGACATTTAAAAAAAATAAAATACCAGCAGTAGCCACATTTCTGACATGTAGCACATTTTATACAAATGAGGCTAATTCTTTGCAGAATTTCTTAAATCTAAAAATATACAGAAGTAGTTTTTTCCTCTGATAAAGTAGATTTAAATGATTTTAGTGAAGCACTGATTTATATCCTTTTATTAAAAATATAAAGTTGAACAGAATACCAAATGATGTATATGGGGATACTTAGACCACCTTGGATGAATGTATGATCCTGATGATGTTCCGGCATGTGATGGCTGCTGTCTCTGTCCAGGGTGCTGAACGTTAGTCACTCCTCGGTTTCCCCTGTTAACCTTTCTGTCTCATGGGTTGTATGATCGCCTCATGATGATGTTTGTCTTGGAGTCCTGAATGTGGAGACCGCAGCCTGACCCCCGGACTCCTGAGACCTTTGGGTTTAACAATGCCTCACAGGGCAACCAGTGATGCCGCCTCGTCTGTAGACAGCCGTTCTGTTGTACCACCAGCCTCCTGCGCCGCCAGCATGGCTGCATCACGAGGTTGATCCTCTGGAAGTTTTCTTTCAGTTTGAATGTTTTCTTCCCCATCACATTTTCCTTAAACTTTAAAAAATGAGCCTGGTGTTGATCTGGAACATCTCTGTGGGGCTCCTACTCTATGCTACAATGGGGGGCTTAGATGTCTTTCTACAGTTTTTAGGCCACTAAGCCATCAGCTAAAACTTCTAGCATCCAAGATAATGAACTCTAACTTCAGTGTGAATACAATTTCCTGCTACTACCTAAATAATTTAGCGCAGAGGTCTTTAATCGGGGGGTCTGCAGTGTCTGTACTGCTATTAATACCATCGATACTAACCTCCCAGATCTCCAAAGGGGACATTGAAGAGGGGCTTCCTGCTCCATCTCCTCACCAATGTTCAGTTCCTGGATTTAAAGCAAGGCAGACCCCTAGTTTAGTAGAACCCTGAACAGAAAGTCCAGATTAGATCTGGACAGATTCAGGAGGGTCCGGTTTATCTAAGCTTCAGGTGGATCTTACATTAACAAAGAAGGTCATTTCATTTTCTCCACATAACGACCATACATGCCGTTTGTGCTCAGTGCTGTTGCAGCTTCATCTCTCCTTCTGGATCTGCTAAACTTAGCTCTCCACAGCGGAAGCAGCATCAAATCTTATCTTTGATCTCTGTCTGTTTTCAGAAGCTCACCTCATTGATCCGAAGCACAAGGAAAAGTTCATCATACATTTAACAGGTATGAACCTCATCACAGCTCGGTTACACGTTACGGCCTTTGACATTATGTGCTAAAACAGCACACTTCAATCCATCCATCAATTAATTTCTTTATTTACAACTTACAATTTTTTCTTCTGTGCCCTTCCGCCATAACATCCAGGGGAGACCGAATCCAAAATAACACTTATTGTTTTGAGAGCAGGCTGCACAGGAATTTTCCGACAGCCATCGAGTATTTTCTTGCTGGCTCTATTTGGCGAATGCAATATTCCAAATTTGTTGAGCTGTTCCGCCATATTTAATGTACGCCGTCTCATCTTTGAGTTCAACCACTGCAGCCAGCCTGTGTTCAATCAAACCCAGAATACGACTCAGCTCACCGTCCTGCCCGTTCACAGCCTTTGTGAGCTCATCAACCAATGCCAGCAGCCTGATCATCGCCCCAATTCCCGCCGACATCCTCTGTATTTGTAGATACATCAGGTATCCTCCAAATCCAAACAGGAGAAATCTGAGTATCATAAATCCAAACATCTTCCACATCCTCTTCTGACAACATTTTAAAAACACACCATCCTCCAAGCCTTCCAGGACTCCATGGTGTATCCCACCAAGTATGTCCCGGTAGGACGGGACGGGTCCCCTTTTCCCTGCCTTCCAGTTGAGAAAAGTTGATCAATTGCATTGAGAGACCAGCTGACCAGATCCATGGTTGGAATTCTGGGTGATATGAAGAGAGAGCTCAGAAAAGACAAGACACAGCAAAGCAGGGACAGATCAGGGAGTTGCAGAGCAGCAGGAAAATGGAACCGCCTCGTTCAAAAGTCAGAACAGAAGGATCAGACAAGATAAACATTGTCGCCACATTTAAAGCTGAATCATTTTCTTTTTAATAGCTGAATGTAAACCACATTCTATTTGTCAGTTAGTGGTCAGCTGACCCCTGTTGTCCAATCAGACGTTTGTGTCTTCAGTCCATTTCTATCACTGACGCCTTTTTCAGTTACTAGAGCAGGAAGTTCTTTACTGTTAATGTGGGAAACCTATAACCAATATAACCAACTGCAACATATTCTCGTCATCAGTTCGTATGAAATCGTACGAAAAGTTATTCACAGTATTTCGTACGTTTTGGATATTTTTCCTCGAAAAAACATATCAGTTCGCATGCGCAGGCAGACGAAAAAAGCAGATCCGCGGAGGGACGTAAAACTGGGACGGACAGTCCAATATTTACTTCTTCATGTCTCTAAATACGTTTCTTGCTGTTTTTTATCTTAGGGTCAGGGTTAATTGTATGTTAAATTCTATGTTATTGAATGGTGCGTAAGATAATAAGACGAAAAAAACGTCTAAAGCGTACGAAATTACGGTGCATAACTTTTCGTATGATTTCAAACGAACTCATAATGAGAATACACTGACCAGTGATAATCCTCAGTGAGGTTGGTTCAATATTCTAACATAACTTTCTTCTTAGTTTTTTTTTTGTATCTAAATACAATAATTTACTTTTAATGTCCAAACTTTGGTGTTTTAGTCCATTAAATAATAAATCATCACTTGAGTCTAATGCCAACGATTATTAATAATAATCCTGACCAAAAATTATTTCCTAACCAAGTGGAATATTTCTTATACCTTCTTTAAACAACCAAAAGTATCAATTACCAGATAATCTATGTTTTTCTATTGCTCAGCCTAATGTTCAACACTTTGCAGCAGATTTGGCTGAATATAAGCTGAAACTTGTCAATGAACTAACTTTCAAACAGGTCCTAAAGTTAGTTTTTTAATGCTGAAAAACCAACAGGTAAATATTAAAAGCAATTAAAATCCATTAAAGGCCTTAATGACTAAAAAAAAAAAATAAACCATAGAAATTTCCTTTAGAATCATTTTAATCAGTCGCCTAAAGTCTGAAAGGTTTAGTCCGTGAGGCAGACACCCTGTCTACTTTTAAGGCTAGGCTTAAAACTTTCCTTTTTGATAAAGCTTCTAGTTAGAGTGGCTCAGGTTATCCTGATCTATCTCTATAGTTCTGCTGCTATAGGCTTAGACTGCTGGAGGACATAGGGACCCCTTTTTCCTTTTTCTATGTCTGCCTCTGTCTGTTTGAATCAATCTGACTAGATGATCTGGTGAACTGGAAAGTGACCAGAGATGACATGATGTGAATTGGCGTTATAGAAATAAACTAAATAGAAATGTGTAGCAGGATTGTAGAAAACCAGATTGTTGTGGTTTACAGTCACAGTGTTTAAAGGATTTATGGCTTCCGCAGGAAGCAAAGCTTGACTGATGGGAGCCTTTTCATGCCCTCAGGTCCTCTCTACTTCAAGCCACAGTGCCGGAAGCTGTTCCACCGCCTGTACAACACCACCAGGGACTGCACTGTACCCGCCTGTGAGTAACAACACTGCCCCGAGTTAAAAGTTCACTCCTTCTGTCCTAATAATGACGTCTAAAGCTGCAGGATATTCAATCCATCTGCGTTTGTTTAACAAAGATATCCAGATTTTTCTAAGACAGCTGCGTCTCAATTTAGGTAGAAATCCAACTTATTTTAAGCCCCATACTAAGGTTAGGCAGTGTTAATAGTTTAGGCCTGGAATGTTAGAAAATCACAGCAGATAACCTGATCTCTCCTTTCCAGAAACCCTGAACCATTAAACCACTTATGTTTCAAGCACCATTCATAATGTCCCCGTTCTGCAAAAGATTACATCTACCATTCAGACTAAATCTTGGCTGCTTGCTAAGTATTTGCTAGTGAGTAATGCAACTGCAGGATTTGAAGATAAGGAACAAGATAAGGCATGCTCTAACAAACAGTCACACCGTGGTACACAGCCGCCATTCTTATGGTTTCAAATCATGCATGGAGTTTGATGTTTGTCTTGGACCGGGAGGCGGGCAGATGAAGATATGCGTTCAACGTTTGCTCTCAGATGTGCACATCTCCCGGAGAGGACGGCATTAGCATTTACTCTTCACATCCTGCTGATAGGCTGCAGTTTAAATGCTTGTTTTAAAACTATGTTTCCAGAAATGCTTCACCTGTTAAATGAGCAGGTATTTCCATCTGGAAATGCAGAAACTAGATGCTTTACTGAGGGTTCCATAGTTCCTCCTGCAACTCCTTCATCTGCTTTGGTCCCACTTTACAATGACTGTCCCATTGGCTAATAAATAGTTTATACGTTGATATAAATCATTTTTTCAAATAGTTTATAGTAACTTTTTACTATGCATGAATTAAAGGGCGACAACAGACTAAAAATAGACCTATTTCTATGCAAATACTGACCCTGATCTGTTCAGGTGCATATTTAATGCACAATAAACTCCTATAATTGAGTTTTTAAGTGTTTATAGATTCAATAATAACATATTTATATATGCTATTATTTATTAATGTTAATAATTATAAGATTATATATATATATAAAGTAATCAACAATTATAATAATAATAATAATGTTTTATTTATTAATATAAATAATAATGCATTTAATAATTCATATATAATAAATGATAAAAAATATTTTTATAAGTATAATAAAATAGATAAATATTATGTAATTTATATACATAAATATAATAATAAATAATTATTATTATTGATTTATTATAATTATTTATATATTTTATTTCATGAATAATAATTAAATATAATATCATATAATTATTTATTAGTATTATTTTATATTATATTAATTATTAAAGCAGTGCTAAGATTTTTATATTTTGGCCTTTAATCCAAACATGGAGTCCTAAATATGGCGACGATTAAATACATATATTCTAAATTTTTCCAAATTAGTTAAACGTTACATGAAAAAGAAAACAATCTACATCTAAACTTTGAGACATATATTCAATAGAAACTGAAATCACCATGTTTCCCATTATAAGTAAAAAAAAACAACATAAATGAGGCTCAGTTAAAAACACAACAAATTGCATCTATTGACTGAAATTTGCAGAGCAAATTTTTATTCTGTACATGTCTGGATTTTTCTGCATCATTGAAAAGATGATTCTAACTCTGATCAGCAGATGGCCGCTCACACTGAGCCTGGTTCTGCTGGAGGTTTCTTCCTGTTCAAAGGGAGTTTTTCCTCTCCACTGTCGCTACAAGCATGCTTAGTGTGAGGGATTGCTGAAGAGTCAATGAGTCGATGCAATCAGCTGGTTTTCCTTAGATAGAAAACTTTGAATCAATCTGACTGGATGATCTGGTGAACTGGAAAGTGACGTGTTTTGAAATGGCGCTATAGAAATAAACTGAATAGAATTAAATAAATGATCTAAGGCGCTAAACCACATGCGATGCTCGTCGTGTCTTTGGAATGCATTAAATATTTGACCAAACCTAAAATTGCACAACTGTGCAGCTAAACTGGTCTCTCTCTAAGGTGAAAGTTACAGGAGCTGGGAAGGTTCAAACTTGTCCAGCTGTTGTTTACACAACGGCGGCGGTTTATTGGCTGATGCCTGTCAGACAACAGCAGCGGGAAACTGTTTACCTAACTCCAGCTTTCTTAACCTCACCACAAGCTGCTGTTGTCATTGTGCATCAGCCGATGGGACTTAATGTGGCGTGCAGATAATGTCTAAACAGAAGAGAGCTGACAGTGCGGCCTGATTTACAGCCCAACCAGGGATTTACGCTCCTTTCATTCAGTCATGTGGATCCCGCATATCGTCTATGTGCTGCTGAGGCCACTTCTTTTTCTAAAGTTGTGATTTTTGCACAAGAAAATATTTCTAAAGAATATTTTCTTGTTTGTTTTGAGGAATTTGCACAGACACATATAATCCGTGCAATATTTACTCTTCTGGAATACAATGCATACCCTAACTTTTTAGCATGTAATTAATCATCTAAAAATATAAAACTTTGGCACACCTGCAGACCCAATGTAGGCAAGGATGGTAACCCTGGAGGAACTGCTGAGATCCACAGCTCAGATGCCAGAACCTGACCTCAGGATCTGTCTCCATAAATCCCACCTTTAGAAGAGAGAAAAGAAGCAGCCATTGTTGACTAAAGCTAGTTAGAGTTGGTGAGAAGTCAGAGAGCTCAGACTGAGGTGGAAGTTCTCCTTCAGACTGATTTCTTGGAACGGCCTAGTCAAAGTCCAGACCTCAATCCACCTCAGCTCTGCAGCAATCTGACTTGGATTGAGAATTTACTGCAGCAAAAGCAGGATTTATAAAGCATTGACTGAATGCATGCCACACTGTTTAGATTCTCTTTCTGCAGGTGTGTGCAGGTTAACTAAATCAAATTATTTCCGACTTTTAATGTTTAACGTTAAATGTAAAAACGGTCTCATTGAAATTGCCGCTTTTTGAACACTGAATCTTTAGGGAATCTTTATTTGCCTGCAAAAAAGTTAACTGATTTTTACATTTTATTTCAGTTTAACATGAGATTAAAGTCAGAATTCTGACTTTAATCTCAGAATTCAGTGAGAATTCTGACTTTTTTCCCATGTTAAACTGAAATAAAATTTAAAAATCAGTTAACTTTTTTTTTTTTTTTTCAGCGGCCCTAATCCGAATTTGAAACACAGATTTCTTTTAGCACCGAATTGTAAACACTGAATTTCTTTACACATCGAATTCCTTACTAGGGTTGTCACGATACTAAACTTTTCAACTCGATACTGATACTAAGTAAAAAATTCGATACTCGATATCCTTTTCCATACCACAAGAATAAAAACAAAGACTCTTAAATTCAACAGAAATATTTTCATTACTGAAAAAATACAATAAATAAATAAAAAAACAATAAGAATAATATTTTGAGGTTGTATGCTGAGCACAATATTAAGCAACCCGGATAAAAAAACTTACAAAATTAAAATGAAGTGTTCCTTCCTTGGCTATGCTTTGCAGATATTACAATGACGCTAGCCAAACCGTTAAACAAAAACAATTCTCAGCAGCTGCACCTGAAACAAAAAAGAGTCTGAAACTGAAAAATGCACAGAATTATTCAATCACACAGTGTTCAGAAAGTGCATTTTCCACTATTCTGCACTTTAGATGGCTGAATCGATACTTTTGCCAATGAGTATTGTATCCGGATACAACTTTTCAGTATCGATACTTTTTTGAGTATCGATACTTTTGACAACACTATTCCTTACACTGTATTTTTATTTGGTAAAAATTTGCCTGCAAAAAATTCAGCTGCAAAAAATATAACTGCAAAAAATTTGGCTGCAAAAAAAAATCACCAGCAAAAAAATCACCTGCACTGGAAAAACCATCTAGAAATAAGTCAAAATTCCTTAAATCAAGTGCATTTACCCTTAATTTGAGTATTTAAATGAGATAGTCTGCCAATGGAATGAGTATTTTTACTCTTAAAATAATGTTTACATAAAATGCACTTGAAATAAGTCAATGCAATTGTGATTTCTTATTTTAAGCGTAAATCATCTTGTTCCGTTGGCAAAGTGTCTCTTTTACCTCCTCAATTCAAGAAAAAAATGAACTTATTTCAAGAAACTTATTTTATCTAGATTTCGATTTTGTGCAAAAAAATCAGCAGCAAAAGATTTGACTGCAAATGTGTTGTTCTTTTGTTGAACTTAAGCCTTCGCAATCTGCACTTGAGCTAATTTCATTGGCTGGAAACTTCTCGACTGCATGGAGTGTAGATTGCTAAGGCTTGACTTCACCAAAAGATCAACACATTTGCAGCAGATTTTTTTTTGCAAGTGAATTTTTTGCTTGTGATTTTTTTGCTGGTGAATTTTCTTCCTGGTGATTTATTTTATTTTTTTTAATGCATTTTCATGAGTTAAACGGACAAGACAAAAAAGAGAGAAAATAAATAAATAGATAAATTAAAATACAGCAAAACAGTAAACAAGTACAACAAAAACAAAAAAAACAAGACAAAACAGTGTCAGCAAACTGAAGAACTGATAAGAGAATAATTATATTATTATTATATTAATAAAGCATATTAAAGCACGAGGCAGAGTCAGAGGACAACAAATCATTCTGCAGACATTGTATCAAGCGGATCAACGTAAAACATGGGATATCAATAAAAAGAAGAGAGCAATAAATGATGATAGTATTGAGATAATAATAAATGATTAAAAAAAGAAAAGAGTAATTTTAACCAATTATTTTGAATATGTCTATTAAAAGGACGCCACACATCTAGGTATTTATCATGATTGTCTGACAAAGAGTATCGAATTTCTTCGAGATAGATACAGGACGCCATATCATTGAGCCATTTTTTAAAGCATGGAGGTGTAGAGGATTTCCATTCCCTCAGAATAACCAGTTTTGCAAACACCAAACCAAACATTAGAGCCTGCTGCAGAGACATGGGAAGAGTAACGGAGAATTTAGAGCAACCCAGAATTATCCCAGGTGATTTGTTTTGCAGGCAAATTTATTTGCAGTTCACTTCTCTTGCAGTTCAAGTTTTTTGAGTTCAATTTTTTGCAGCTGAATTTTTTGCAGGCAAATTTTTACCAAATGAAAATACAGTTTAAGGAATTCGATGTGTAAAGAAATTCAGTATTTACAATTTGGTGCTAAAAGAATCCATGTTTCAAATCCGGGGTACAAAAACGGGCCGATTCCAATGCGGCTATTTTTCGTCCATATAAATGCCTTTATGAAAGACTAAACAAAAGTAATAACTGGGGCTTTGTCGTCAGGTTGTTTATCAAGTGAGCGCATCGCTCCAGGCGGACTGCATTGTCTCTGGCTACGTTAGGCTAGGTACACCGAGGTCCTCATGATGCTGATGCTGCAGGTCCTGTCTCCTTTTAGAAACTGCTTTTTAGCCACAATTAAAAGCACGCCTTGTTGTGTTCCTTCTGTTGCAGTCTATAAAAGATGTGCTCATCTGCTGACTCGACTGGCCAAAAGCCCTCGCTGTGCCGAGAGATAAACAGAAACGATACGGTAAGACTGAGCCGCGTCCCTCATGTTCACGCAGTCCAGAATACATCCAGAAGTTCTCCAGGCTCCCAGAGGAGGAGCTCTACTGTAGATTATCTCACTGCCAGATGCAGAGGTTAGATCTCAGAGAGGGCGGAGCCAGAATTGCATCAGTTTAATGCATAAAGGAGGAAATTAATCTGAATGGTGGAGCTTTGGGAATAAGGCTTCCTCTTTACCTTAAGGTGAAGAAAAGTATTCTTTTTTTTTACACCTGTAAAGTTTGGTTTGTGTCCAGCGTTGCCAACCACACACCAACCCAAACACAGGATTAAAAATCCTTATCTGACCTGTCTGCCGTGCTGCAGGCAAACCTCCAATTGAGAGGAGACCACAAGACCACAGAGGAAGAAGATCTTCTGCACAATGTCGACTTTGTCAGGCATGCAGAAAAACGCCCGGGAGACTGACTGTTGGAGGTCAGCCAAAAACCTACTCTGCAGCAAAATCTGCAAACAGCAAGAACATTGAGTTTGTTCCAAAACAAAGCGGACCCAAACACTTCAACCGAACCAAATCTCATCCTCCAGCACAGCAACATTAGTCACAAGAGAATATCAGAAGATTGTTGCTTTGATAGCAGGAGGAAACTCTGCTTTAAACTTCATCAGCATCTAGTTTGGCTGATCGGATGTCTCTCCTTAACCTATTTATTCATTAAGATTTAAGCAAAGTAAAACAAACATTCTAGAGATATTTATCAGTCAGGCTCTAATGTAATTACTGATTTTCTTTATGTCATTCAGTCGATAATTGACGGGGAAAAACGTATCAGTTTATCTTAATTTGCTGTAAACATGTCATGCTGTAGTCATGGTTACTCCTGAAATGCAAATTTTAATAGAACTTCGTTAGTATTGTTTGTTAGGATAAAGCTGACAATAGTCAGTAAAGTTCCAGTTGAGATGTTGATCCTTTTATTGAGCTAAAAACAGACTTTAAAACCCATCAGAGGGGGAAGGGACTCCACTTTAGACCAAACCTGAGGAAAGAATAATCTCTGACCTCTGACCTCATGCATGTGTCATCAGGTCTCTAGTTATTGGACACCAGACTTAAATTAGTAAAGATGTAGATCTATGGATGAATAGACAGTTGTCCTATTTCTGGAATCTGTCTTTACTGAAGTCACGGCCTATTGCTGATTGGTTGAGGGTTTAATTGGTTCTCTTCATCTTCTCTGTGTTTCCTCTACAGCCTTTGGACATGAAGTGGGAGCAGAGAACCCGCTTCACGCCCTCTAATGACCAGCAGAAGATGACAGAAGCTTGATTTCACTCTTCAACCAAAGACCAAAGAACTGTTCAGCCCTTTGGAAACTTCTAGCTATGTTTGGACGAACTCTGACTGATGCAAGGACCTCCCTCAGAGACTGCTGTGGTGTCCCACAGCTGTGCCCTAAGCCAGGCCTGCAGAGTCCTGCAGGTTTTAGGGGTTTTAGGGTCTATAAGACTTGATTCAGATGATCTCAGCTGAGCGAAGGCTGTTAATCAAGCATTGGGGGTTTAAGCTGTGCTAAAGCAGGAGAACATCTAAAATATGCAGGACGAGCAGGAGGACCAGCTTTGGACGTCTCTGGTCCTTTTTTCTTCGCTCACTTGGACCCGCTAAGACTACCTGATTCTGGCAGTGTTTATGTCCACATACCTTAATGACTCTGAATGACTGTTGACTCTTCTACAGCGCCTCTGCTCTCTATGGCAACAAGGAAGCCGTTCTTCAATTGATCCACTAATGGTTTTAGTGGTTTCTGTTTGCATTGTCTGTTCTGGAAGCAAACCTGGGACATTTTGATCAGTGTTTGATTCCTTCAGGATGTTTGAGCAGAGTTTCTGCTCCCGTCCAGAGCTGCAGGACAGACGGATCCTGAATGTCTTCAATGGTCCATTAGCCGGTAACTGTAAAGCTGTTCCCCTTTATATTTATATTGTTAAAACTGCCTCCCTCTGTGCAATATGTAGATACTGAACGAGGAATAAAGGCCCACATTTGATACATATTTGCTTTGAAGTCTGATTGATAACGAGCTAGAAAAAATCGGACAGGTTTTGCGTCATCCTGAGGGCCGGTTTAACCGGCGAATCACCGTAATGGTATTTTTCTGGTGGAGCAGCTCGTTATAGGATTCTCCTTCTGTGGCGTCAAAGAGATTCCTTCCAGTTTAATGTGGATAGACAAACTGGTTTGAGATGGAATTATAATTTAGCTGCTGGAATCTTATTTTTCAAGTTTGGTGGAGGAGTCGGTTGATTTTTAATTCTGGATTATTTTGAAATCAGATATGTCAGTTTAAAGTATGTTTTTAGGTGAAAATCTTCAAACCTGACGCAGTTTTGGTTTCTACAAAATGAATTGGCTTGAAAATGCAGAGCGATGATGAGATAAAGTATTCAGGTTGCAGACTCTTATTGGTTTCTAAATGTGTCTGATCACATGATTACAGACAGATTTAGGAACAAAAACTGATTTATGAATAAAAAAAAATCACCTGGAAATCAACCAGTAGGAGCTGCTGCTAAATTTAGTAAATATGAAAATTGAGATCGGACTAATTTATAATGTGTTTTTTTTTAGGTCGGGTCTCATATGACAGTGAAAATGATCAACTTTTGGTGTTTTTTATTGTTTCATCCTTTAAGCAGCTGGGCTTTACGTTGCCATGGTGCCTCACTTCCCTTATAACTCATGACATTCATGTTTATTTGCTGTGCAGTGAAGTTATTTAAGGTCATTTTTAATAGTTCAAAGGCAGTAAGCCTCTGTGGTCAGTTCATGGTTATTATAGGGTTTTCCATTCTTCACTGTAATTCTCTGGTTGTTTTATTTAGAGGGTTAGACACTCTCTCGATGACCCCCCCCCCCCACCCAGTCCAACGACCAGAGCAGTTGGATGGAGGATCAAAGGCACGTTTGTTGGTATCTCTCAGATCCATAGCCAAACCAGTTTGTAGAACTTGGAGAATTAGGGTTAGCTTTTAGAGTAATGGCTGGGTTTTAGGGTTAGGGCAAGGCTTAAAATTAGGTTTAGGGTAAGTGTCAGGGTTTTGGATCGGCTAAGTGTAATTTAGGGCAAAGGTCAGGTGTTATATAATATTAGGGTCAGTAGCTAATTGATCTGGTAAGTTGATAAACATGAGAATCAGGTTGATATGTGGGTTACATAGGTTAGGGTTAGTAGCTAATTGTCCTGGTAAGGTGATATGTGCTATAAGTGTAGTATAAGGGTGGAGGTTATGATTAACTGTAGATAAATATATTAATTTTTGGCTGAATGGAGGAAGCAGAGTCAGGGCTAAGTTGACCCCCGCCGGTCTGGCATGTAAACTCTGCCTCCTCCACTTCCTGCAGTTCTAAACTGAGGGAAGGGAGGTAGGTAGAGGGAAATGTTTAATAAATATATATTTTTTTAGGTCTAATATTGGTAGGAGTTAGTATATTATTTAAGGATAAGGTTTTGATAACTTTAGTGTAAGGGATTTTATAGAAATTAGTGGAGAGTAGTCATATTATGGTATTAAGGGTAAGGGTTAGGGGCAGTTCTAGTGTTAGGATGACTCCAGAACTTTTTAGGGAGTCAAAGGCAAGGCAAAGGCCGACACATGTCACTCAAGAGCTCATCTCTTTACGTTAAGCCCCTTTTTTGAAAAACATCATCAGTAGTGAACCTCAGGATCATCGGGTGTTTCAGCCATTAGTATTAGACACCCTTAGCCAAGGAAGGCCCAGACAGGGATGATCAGTCCCTGCTGTGTCCAATAGCCAATTAGGTTAGGGTTTAGGGTTAGAGCTAGGCTTTAGGTTTAAAGGAATAGTACACCCAAAACATGATTAGCCTTCATTTTCTACTCACCCCCATGCTGAACAACACTCTGGAGTACTTTTTTAATATCTCAAATGCATCTGGAGATCTGGGAGGCTTCTTGCTGTCTGCTGACATTCAAATAATGGAGGTCTATGGCGCCCGAGGCAGAAAGGTCCATAAAAGTCCACAAAAAAAGTGTCAATATTCCTCCATACTGCTCGTCCAATGTATTTCAAGTGTCCTGAGTGGGTAGCGTCCATAATTTTCTCGAAACGAAGTCATTTAGAATGTTTTTAGAGCATAAACAGTAGTGTATAGGATTTCCTGAAAGCACGCGCCTGCGAGTTCACGACGCTACGGAAGCCGGCAGACCAAACCAGATGAAAGTGCGCATTCAGCGTCTGCTCTGCCGATAATGCAAGCGTAGAAGAAGAAATGTGCTGTTTACCTGTGCAAAGAAAGAAACAACGAAAGAAAAATGTCTGAAGACTTCAGTGTTGAGGAAGAGCATGAGTTCTTTGCCGAGCTGAATGCGCACTTTTGTCTGGTTTGGTCTGCCGCGGTTTCCGTAGACTCGTGAACGCGCTTTTAGGAAATCCTATACACTACTGTTTATGCTCTAAAAACATTCTAAATGACTTCGTTTCGAGTAAATTATGGACGCTACCCACTCAGGACACTTGGAATACATTGGACGAGCAGTATGGAGGAATATTGACACGTTTTTTGTGGACTTTTATGGACCTTTCTGCCTCGGGCGCCATAGACCTCCATTATTTAAATGTCAGCAGACAGCAAGAAGCCTCCCAGATCTCCAGATGCATTTGAGATATCAAAAAAGTACTCCAGAGTGTTGTTCAGCATGGGGGGGAGTAGAAAATGAAGGCTAATCATGTTTTGGGTGTACTATTCCTTTAAGGTTAGAGGTTAGGGTTAGGTGAAGGAGTAGTGCCACAATGACATCCCCCTAAATCAGTCCAGTGACTGAAAAAGTTTGGTTTAGGGAGTCAAAGGCGAGGCAAGGGCCGACGCACGTCACTCAAGACCTCATCTTCTTGTGTTTAGCCCAGGTAGGAGGTACACAGTAAACACATTCTATAGGAAATAGTTGAACCCAAAGGCTTAAAGTCGGGATCAATAGTGAACCTCAGGATCATCGGGT